TCCCAGAATTCCTCAGCCAGCTGGCTGAGGAATTCTGGGAGTTGAAGTCCACAAGTCTTAAAGTTGCCACGGTTGGACACCCCTGATCTAGATCCAATCCACTTGTTACTCCCCGCTCCCTTCCCCAAACACTGGGATAAGAAAGCCCCAAATGAGCTCAGAATTAAGCAGAATTATAAGGCCAACTCAGATTTCCTGGTGGCCACTGGGAGCCTTAGGATTTGTCTTCCCTGAGACGTTAATGCTTTTATTATTACCAAGAGTAAAAGATGAATGATATACCTTTCCCTTATTGCCTTTGGGAGCCTTCAATGTGACAGAAAAAGACAGGTAACCTTTATACTAAGCTAAGTTGCACCTGTTGAATACCAGGCTATTAATCAACTGCGAAGGGGCAGAAAAAGATGGCTCCTCTACGGGTCTACCAAGAGAAGGGAAGGGAAACCCCGAAGCCAGCGGGGCCTAAAGACTCAGGTCCTCCATTCCCGGGAATCAAAGCCAAGGTTTTCGGCTGGCTGAGGCTTGGAGCCAAAGTCGTCCGTGGAGAAACGCAGCGGCCCCTCCACAGGCACGAAGGCTGCGAACGTCAACGTTTCGTCCCGGCGGACCGGTTCGCGTCCAGCGTTCAAAACAGCCGTTCCCGTCCCCCTCAACCAAATCCAGATGTGGAGAAGTCCCGCACCACGCACCTTGCTTTGAGGCCAGGCCGGACTGGGACTCGCTTCAGCAGCAGGGATGACAGCAGCGACACCAACGGGGTCCATGTTGGGAGGAGAAGGAAGCAAACCCGAAAGGCACACAAGAGAGGAAAAACCAGCCGACCCGAGCAGAGAAGACAAGCGACTCCTAATGGAATGAATCTCTTTCCGGCTTCAGGAACTTCCCCGAAGTTTGTCCCGCCCCCTAAGCGTCGGCAGCGGCTGTTCATTGGCTCCGAAGCCAGGTTCCTGCCCGGCGGTTGAGCTATTTCCTCCTTTGGAAAAAGGTCGCTTTCCCCCCCCACTACCCCGCCCCCTTGACGCCATTGATCCCGCCCTCCTCTCTCGCTCTTCCCTGTTGCTTTGCGATCGTTTCAAGAGGCTTTGACGTTTCGGAAAATGTTTTCTTAAAAAATAGCGTCCTTCTTCGGCTTGAGTCGTCTCCGAGCTTGATTAGACGCGAGATCAGGAAGCAACTGAATAAACGTCCATCGGGTTGCAAAAGTGGCTTCAAAACAAAAGCGGGATTTGGGTTTTTTTTGCTTTTAAGAAAGACACCCAAAGCTCATTAGATAAGAGCTCTCCAAACTTGGCAGCTGTGCTGGCTGAGGAATTCTGGGAGTTGAAGTCCACAAGTCTTAAAGTTGCCAAGCTTGGGGACCCCTGTCATAGACATAGAGCATCAAAGGCTCCACAGAAGCAGTTTTGTTTATACAGCTGTGTTAGGCTTACTCTCTAAACCATGGAATGGATGTTTGTATCAATCAGTAACTGGAGATTCTCAGTCATCCAGGTCATGGTTGTCGCAAAGGAGCTTTTTCAAGAAGCAACTGGACTTTTCCGGGTTTTGCTTTGAACATGTTTCGTTTCTTGAATGAGAAGGGAAACATCTTCAAATAAAAATTAGAAACTGGACTTTCTGATTTTTATTTGAACATGCTTCGCTTCTCATTCAAGAAGCGAAACATCTTCAAAGCAAAAATCAGAAAGTCCAGTTGCCTCTCGAAAAAGCACCTTTGGGTATCAATCAGTAGATTGAGTGCCAGCTGAACAACCATTAGTGCTTCCCCCAACCTGTTTTGATTAGCCTCCTTTCCATTGTTGAAAGATACAGTCCAGTGTTCATCTTCTTTTAGCTTTCCGTACACAGATTCAGAGAAGCTCTTTTACTGATATCAAATAAAACATGAATGAAACAAAGACTTTTAGTGTATGATTGTGCTGATCAGTATTTTTAGCAACTATTCTTCACACTGCTTTAATTTTGGGCCCCAAAGACATTGCAATTCACCTTTTCCTGCATCAGAAATGTAACACGTCAAATTAAAAGTATAAATGAAAAGATGTGTTGGAATATGCACTGCTCACATGTGTCTTATTATCAAAATAATATAAAGGAGTAGACGAGCATGGTTTCCATAAGCAGCAAAAATAGTGAAGAAACTTTAAAATTAAATTCATTATATAATAAGCATACATGATGAAATAAATTTTAATAGATCAAAATATTGGCCATAATAAAGCAGTAGCTTTGGGGAAACCAAAAGTCTCTCTCTTTGTAATGGATATCGAGTAGAAATAAGTGATGTCTTAAAGTTCCTCAAAGATGGGTTGGTTTTGTGTGAGAGAAAGGACAAATCACAGGCATTTTCAGTTGGTGTCCTATTTCAGCCTTTAAAAAATGTAGGACCTTAGACTTTTTCTTGTCATTTCCATTGTTTTTTCTAATTCTATTACACCCCATTTTCCATTTGAAAATATTGATAAAAATTATGCTGACAAGTTTCTAAGACAGTATGCCTTTTGGCCAATATCAGCTATACTCTGCCAATCTATTCCTTTGATCTAAATTCAATGTGTCCCTTCTGAAAGCAGGTGTATTACAGACACTTTCTTTACTCCGGAGAAACAGTTCTGAGGGTTTCAATACCCCATCTGTGCATCCAGGACACTATCAGGGAGTCTGCAGTCAAATAGATAAATAAATGTTTACACTTCTCTGATTTAATTTCTAATGCAGTATGTATCAATACTTATAACCCACAAACATTGGGTGTCCTCAATCAGTTTTATTTATTTGACCCTAACCCTTATTATTGTTGATGATGATAATAATAATAATAATAATAATAATAATAATAATAATAATAATAATAATAATAATAACTCAAGGCTAACATATATCTAATACTCCTCCTCCTTCCTAGTGTCCCCACAACAACCCTGTGAGATGCGTTTGGGGGGGGAGGGAAAGAGAGAGAGAATTTGGGGGGAGGAGGGAGGGAGGGAGAAAGGGAGAAGGGGAGAGAGAGAGAGAAAGAGAGAGAGAGAGAGAGAGATTGGCTTAAGACAGCTGGCTTTTAGAGTTCCTGAGATCAAAATACTGCTCTCTAGTCTAAAGAGGTATTTCTCAACTTTGGCAACTATGAGATACGCGGACTTCAACTCCCAGAATTCCTCAGCCAGTTATGCTGTAGTCTGATCTAGGAGGTTGAGAAATGCTGTTTAGAGGGAGCGCTACCCCTTTAAGAAGGCTGTTTCTCGGCTCCTTTTCTTTGCGTCCATTGGAGCAAAGGCAGTAGCGACGTGTCCCTGTTATGGCTGCCACATGCAGCCGGACGGAGATGCTTTAACTCTCTGCTCCAAGCCTGGCGACATGCTTTGACTGATGCCTTTCACGAGACCTGCCACTGGTCTTGCTTTCTGTTTGTTCTACTTGAGTTCTTATTTCACCAACAAGGTGAGGATAAAGGAGCTACCAACGACAGTATTACAAACTGATCATTATGTATTCCTTTTCCTCTGGTTGGGTATGGGGTGGTCCGCTTAGGTGTGCCAACGTTTCAGAGGAGTTCGGGACTTGCCCGATGTGTGTTTCTCCATGATTAAAACCTGCTTGGTGAAGTCTGACTCAGTAGCGCTTTGTATTTGAGCACCGCGGGTCCTTCATTCAGCCCATCCGGCATCCTGCCTGACAATGAGAATTGGGAGAGAGAATAAAGGGAAATCCACCGTCTTCAGGGGACACAAAGTCTATGAAGGAAGATTTCAGCTGATTAATTCGTAAAAATGAACTATTTGCATGGAAGAGAAGTTCTCCAAGTTTCAACGGGACTTAATATTGCAGATAGCGAGTGCAGTCTAGAAGTCAAATGCCCTAGTAAAAGAAAAAACTGTCTCTAGCTGAGTTTGATATGCTGAACTACAAACTTGGAAATAAATACAGTAAAACCAGTAAACTCTGAGTCTGACACTCTGAACTATAAACCAGCCAACCACATTTCGCCCTAGTATATTAAGAGGTTCATATAGTTGATTTATAGTTCGGTGTTCAGTGTGAACCTGGAAAGTGAAGTTAATAGGGTAAAGTATTGATCAGTTAATATAGGTATGATAATGAAAATAGCCTTTTATTTCAACTTTTAGGAAAAAATAGAAATAATTAAGCATAAGACCAAAGTTGCTGAAAATGGGCAACATATTTCTCTTATACAAAAGTCATATCAAGTTCAAGCATCCAACTTTATTTACGCAACAGATTTTCAAGTAAGGAGGAAACTATTTTTTATCAGATGTTTTGCTTATCTCTTAAATGCACACACACACACACAAATTAATACCAATCTCATAACCATTGAGTTGAAGCCATGCGTAATTCAATTCTGGAATTCAAATTAAGAATCCTCAACAAATGGCTGTATAATGTCTGAACACATTCAGGGAAGGGGAGCAAGCCAGCCAAAATTTGTGGATAATTGGTTCCACTATTTAACTTGGTTCACACCCCACCCCAACATTCAATCACAGCACACGTTCTTGTAATTTAACATTGTTATCTCCTGGGAGATAATTTTGATATGACCAATCTATAGTAATGAAGGAAGCATGCATACAATTGATGATTTTCCCTCAAAATGTGGCTTTGTTCACTATACTCTGAAACAACATGGTCAGTTAATATACCATTTATTCAATCTTTTCCTTTATTTTTCTTTATACTGAATCAGCATTCCATGACCTTTACTTTAAAATTATGCTTTTACAGTATCTTAACTGATGATAACTCATTTTCTCATTTCACAAAAGTCGATTTATATATTTTATGATAGGGAGAGAAATGTATGTATTCATTTAGTACATACTGTGTTAGCCAATTATTGGCTTCTAATTTTGAGCATGAAGCCACATCTTCAATAAGTGTGGCTTATCCACAGTTACTTTATAATGTAATGAATGCTCTCAGTGTTACATTTTCAAATATACAGTTTTTTAAAAAAGTGAGGATACACCCAGGAATTAAGTATGTATAATATCATTCAGACACAAATTATTCACTAGATTTCAATATTGGCTTTATTTTGTACAAGTCTAGGTGGCATACATAAATTGTCCCACTTCCTATTTTCCCCAAAGCAAGAATCCAGTGAGGTAAGCTGGAAAAAGTAACTAGCTTAAAACCATCCAGCTGACTTTTTATTTAATAAAAATGATAAGGATTTTCATAGACCAGTGAAGTCTATGAAAAAATCTAGAAAATAAAGAAAAGAGGCGTTTCCAGTGAGCCATCATGGTCTCACTTCTAGAATAGGTTGAAAATGGTCCTCAAATATGGGGTTTGGTCTGCTGAAATCCAGGGGTGGGATTCAAATTTTTAAACAACCGGTTCTGTGGGCATGGCTTAGTTGGTGGGTGTGGCTTGGTGGTCATGTGACTGGGTGGACATGGCTTGGTCATGTTATTGGCTGGGTGTGGTCAACTCAATATCACTCACATCGAGGCACGCATCTCCTCTCCTGGCCTCTCTTGACTGTGGGGATGCTGCAACAGTCGTAAGTGTGAAAAACAGTCACTTTTTTCAGGGCCATTGTAACTTTGAATGGTCACTCCACACAAGCAAAGTACCAGCAAAGGAGGGGAAAAAAACTCCAGAGAAGTTCCTGAGACAGGAAGTCTAGTCCTGCCAAGAATGTAAAAAGGGTTAACGGAGAGGCAGTTTCTGTAAGCAATACCAGAATGTTTCCTTCCTGCCTTCCTTACAGGATTAGGCCAGTAATTTCTTCTAACAACCAGTTCTCCAAACTGCTTAGAATGTTAACAACCGGCTATAGCAATAGGTCCGATCCTGTAGAATCCACCCCTGCTGAAATCTCTCCAGAGTAAGGAGAAATTGCAAGATTACTCATAGGTACTCCAGACAGCTAGGGTTTTTTTGTGAGCAGTTGGCAGGAATTGCTTTTTGTAGTTGGCTTGCAATTAGCTGGGAGTTGCCAGATTTCATTGTGCTTATAAGCCATTAATGTTGCCTGTATGAACTTTAAATTTGACTGGGGCTCAGCCCTTAATCACTATGGATTTAATTTTGTTTCAGCTTTTGGTTGTTTTTTAAATACTTTTTAAAGATTGAGAACATTCAGACTGGGAAATGTTATTGACATTTTTGGTTGAGTTTTTTCAATCCTTTAAAAGTAAGAAGTTTAACTAAAATATAAATGTACGTAACAAACCATTTTTGGAATGTACAGCAAAAGGATGATTAATGTTGGCTTTAGAAAGTTTTAAATAGTTTAAGGGCTTAGATGGGCTTGATTTAAAACTTTGAAGTTAACAGAAAGAATTGTTCTTATACTTCAAAATAATTGATATGACTTTGAAGATTGGACATGAGCTTAAAAGATATTTTTTGTTGAATGGACATGATGAATGAAAGTTTTAAAGTTATTTACCTCTACAGGAGAATTTAAAAGATGTTACTGAAGAGGAACAAACCTCACTGAATAAAACTGAAATTGACTTGTAGATGGATTAGAAAATGATAGCTTACAAGAAAGAAATGGAAACAAATGATTTAGAAATGAAGCTGGATGATGATTTAATATTTAAAAAGTATACAAATAAACCAGAAGAATGATGTAGATAACTTTTGTACATTGTATTTACAAAAAATAAAAGTTGCTGCATTGGAATTACAAAAGGGACTTGACAAAGATGCCAAGAATTTTGAGAGAAGAGACAAAGCATGAGAATTTGTTAAAATATTAGAATTTTCTTCGAGGAATTTAAAGACTTTTGGGAGAAAGAAGAAAGAATACCAGATTGGTTTAATGTGTTTTTTTTAACAAAGATTGGATGATGTCTTAAAGATTTTGTTTAATTGAAGACAGGAAATGGGGGTACATGTTTAAATAAAAATGAAGATAAATATGAAAGGAAGGATTCAAATTAAGTTTCATAGAAACAGTTTGTAATAGTTATGTTATTTCTGATAAGCCTTAATGGATTCTTGCTGAATAATGTGGAGAGATGAAGTTTTAGAGATAGATTTATAGTAATTGGAATAATGTATGAGATGAAGAGGTGTTGCTTTTACTTTAAGAGATAGTGATAAGTTGTTAATGTCAACTATATTTGCTGGAGATGAAGGAGGAGGTTTCCTTTTCTTATTTTTCTTCTTTCCTCCCCCTTCTTTTTTCTGCACTTTTTAATGTTTTACTTTTTAATATATCTATGTACTATGTAGGTTGTACTATTAGTTTTATCTGTATAATATAATTTTCAATAAAGTTATGGGGGGACAACATCTTAAGTACTAATAAAAGTGGTAAGGGGCAAATAAAACCTTCTGGAGGTTGTGACTGTCTATACTCATAGTGGCAGCTCTTTTGTGTGAATGCCCTGATCCACATTCCTGTGATGCCCATTGGGTCATAAAAGTATGCTATGATTTCTGTAAAATATATATTCCATGCATGTGTATAGATAATATATAAAGCTGTGTTTTCTTATTTTTCCAGTATGTCTTATCTGTCCTGAAATTCACCTATCCAACACTTTTTCAAGGGTAAGCATAATTTCATATATACATGGAAAAGAAGTATTTAATTAATGGGGATTGGACCAGAGAGAAGCTAATCTTTGTACTGCATGTATTGCAATTGCTATTTTTTCTCACCTGTAGAGCTCTTACAGTGTTACACTTACCTAGTAACCTTCTGGACTACATTTTCAATCAGTAAGCCTGATTGCTGACCCTCCAGGCTATATTATATTGTATCATTATGTGATATCCTGATATCGTAATAACAACAAATGGGAATAATGTGTGCATGCTGTCAGCCCCCATCCAACTTAATGCTGACACATGCTTTGTTTTCACTTCTTTGGATCAGCAATAAGCAGGACTATCCTGGTCTGTAGATGTGATGTGCAAACATGATTTGCATACCATACTAAGCTATGGTTTCATATCTGGGCTGAAAAAATTGAACAATACTAGATTGCAGCAGAGATACAGAAAACTCTTAACTTGGTTACTACTATCTAGCAGTAGCAGCCCAGATATACTAGCTCTGTGCTTAATTATGGTTCATTAAAAAGCCACTGTTTGTTAGATTTACTACAATTCACTAAGCCTATGGTTCCTTTCATAATACTTTAACTCAAACGAAGCAAGTCCACTTTGTGGTTAAACATGTGAATTGGGAAGAAGAAAAACAAGCCATCAATTCTTAATGTTACAGAGCTTTTGGTATATATTTAAGATGTAAACAGTTTGACTATAGAGGGAATTAAATAGATCCAGCACCTTAACAAAATGAATAAAACAAGACTTTTTCTCATGTGTCTCTTTACAAAAATGACATGAAAATGGCTTGAGATGTATTTATCATTGTGTATCTAAAGTCTCTTACTTCATACTGCTTATTTCTTGTTAGTACTTACCCAGTGTATCAACTTCATGGTTTAATTTAATCTACATACTCCCAGAAGAAAGGACTCAGTCTTTCATCGCATGTGGTAGGAATATAAAGATGTTTTCTGTGTCATTTACAAACATATGTTGTTTGATAAGGAGTGGTTATTGAAGTGTTTGTTCTCGTTATTGAACATGTGCTTTCCATTCAACTTGTCCACACTCTACCACTAATACCTCAGTGCAGACCTAGGTAAGACTCCTATCTAACATCGTAAGGGCTCCTACATTACTGAATTAGATGGATAACTTTGTTCCTAAGCTTCCAAATAATTGAAAAAAAAACTAATATGAATATGAATGGCAATATCAACACACTCTGAGATAAAACAAAAACAAAGACACAAAGCCTCTGGTGCTAGAAACTGAAATTTAGCATTCTATACATTATACAGAATCTAGAAGCCTCTGTTACAACTTATAAATATCACAGATTTTTTTTTAACATACTTTTTTACATGTGTTATACAGGTGGCAGACACTTGTTGGTGGAATTCTGTTACATGTTTCCTGGAAAATCGGCTGGGTTGAGATCAGCAGCAGTTCAAGGTATAGGTGAAAGTGCAGCATAAATAAACCAACCAATGTTAATAGTCTCTGAAGTACAATATTTATATTAGTATCCATTGAGAGACATATTATTTTATTGTATACTTTGATTGTATTCCCATTCCACCTCCCTTAATATTACAAAAATTCTGAAATGAGATTTTTTTAAAAGATATTTTTTTAACTTGCTTTTGTTATTGGGATGTTTTATGTGCAATAAAACAAAAAACAAAGAGGTTTGATTATGTCGGCCTTGCCATCTTGACTCTTTTAACACAGTTATCTCCTACATTCATGACATTCATAGTTCCTATTTTGGTCAATTATGTTGCATGATATATGCACCATGAGTGTTTTTCTACCACTAACTCCATAAAAATCTGCTTTTGAATGTCAGATGTGATCTAGACCTAAAAACAAACATATCAACACTGTGTGAATGTCAGCAACTTTCCAGGCCCTCCAGTGAAAAACTCTTCACAATATTTATTAGTTTGGGTTATTATTTGATGAAGTTCCCTAGGGAAAGGAAAATCAAATTTAATGTTAAATAAATACGTTTATGTTGGATACCTTAGAAATATGAAACTATTTTCAGCCAGCTACTCAGATTTTTAAACATTCTATAGGTAGTAAGGGATCCATATTGATTCCTATCAGCATTATTTTTGTTGTACCTGACAAAAATAGGTATGGGTGGTGTAGGTGGTTATTTATATGCAAATAAAACACTAAATTGTAGTATAATTTCGTGCAGCAGACGTTTAACTTCTATTCTTATACAATCTAATGCAATCTGTTTTTAAAAAAAGAAGCAACAACATTGGATGTTTCCAGACTTGATATAACTAACAATCTCATTTTAGGGGTTTATAAGAGGCCTAGACAACTTGTACTTCTCTTACAATTTTTTCGTGTTTTTTTCACTGGGTTTTTGTCATGTTTTACTCTATGCAAAAATAGTGCAATTTGGAATAGCTGCACAATGCCTTTTGATGGTGATGTTCCCTTACATTTCAAAACATCCCAGTCATTTTGTTCATAGTTTTCTTCACTATAATTTTTTAGATTTGGAACTATGGGTTTACCCCACTAGATGTCAGTGTAATTTAAGCCGAAAAATACTGACTGTTATGCCATAGTTTAGCAATAATACCATCTATGTTCTACAGATCTGTAAGGAAGAGGATCTTTGTGTACAATAAAAGTCAACAACATCACTTTTGATTAAACCTAAAGACAAACAAGCGTGCAAATAATACATAAGAGGAGTTTTTCATTCGATTATCAAAAGCACTATGAAATTCTTTGTAGGCTATTACTTCCAATACTTGCAAAGCAGAGATAGTTGGCAAAATTTACTTCCTATCTGTGTTAAAGCAATCCTGTCTACCAAAAAAGATAGTAAAAGGTAGACTTTCAATAGTTGTTGAAGACAGCCTTGAAAATGTTGTGTGAATCTTCCACATGAGATAGATGCTTTAACTAATATACATTGTAATGCACTCTGTATGACTCCTCAGCACAGGCTTACTAACATCTTTCTAAAGAGACTTCAAAGGCAGCTCGATGTTCTGTAGAGTGTATAACAGTAATCCAATTAAATGGTTACATAAATGACTTAGACCAGGGGTGTCAAACTCAAGGCCCACGAATCAGATCCGGCTCGTGGGGTGCTTAGATCTAGTCTGCGGGCCCAGCCTGGAAATATCAAAGGACCAGCGCGTGGTTCCTCTGCCGTTCAAAATGGGTCACAAGGGGGCCTCACATGGCCCCCTGCGGCCCGTTTTTGGCTGGCAGAGTGCTGCAGGATGCTCTGGAGGCTGAAAATGGGCCACAGGGAGTGCGTGTGAGGCTCCCTCGTCGCCTATTTTGGTTGGCAGGGTCCTGCAGGAGGTGTCCGCCCCGTCTTAATTCTTAAGCTTAGAAACTTTCCCACTAGGCATTCACTGCAGTCGTTCAAATTCAGTTACGAGGAGTACATTAACAATGATTAATTTAATAAAAATGTTAAAATCAATAGGAGGTAAATTATAAGATTTATACTATAAAGCATTCTATCTTCTATATTTCTGTCTGATAGTTAACATACAGTACAGCCTTCACAGTCTTGTCCCACAATCCCTCTCATTATCAACTGGATAATCCAATTCAAGAAGAATGAATATAGAAATGTCAAACATAATGACCGAGACGGTCTTCAAGCAATGAATTATTTCCTGTCTTCAACCATTTTTGCCATTTGCTTTTTTCAAAACATGCTTTGCCTTTAGGGGTATTATGAATGAGGAATGGTTGAATGAGACACTTTTGATTTCTTTTACTTTCTGATTTCTGTTCATGTTATATTTGATTCATTGGAATTGCAATTATTATATTTGGATGGGTGTTTCTTTTAATATATGCAGGGATTTTTTTTTAAAAAAAAAAGACTACTGCTATGTCATTCTTTTCATACATTTTGTTTACTCTTTTATAACCCACAATTTTATAATTGTTTCTAAGCTACAATGTGAAATTGGGAGAATTGTGAATTTTAAATTAATTTTCAGTTTAATTATCTTTTACATTACTATTTTTTGTGTTAATTGCAATAACACTGAAAATGATCATTTTATAATATTTCATAATTAATTTTCTATGTGTAGCATGAATTGAAATATCCAAGAACTGAAAGTTTGCTTTTACATAGGTATATTCTTTGAAACTTTCCGTTCTGTTCCTCTGAATGAACAGGCAGGCACCTATATGGCTACCTTAATTAGTTTCCAAATGAACTTGGCTTTTAAGCTCATTAACAAAGGAAGCCTGGAATTCCTTTTTGTTAGTACTGATTTTTTTTATTGATGCTTCTGACTTTTTCATTGAACAGCTTTTGGCAAGTTTCATTCTGAGAAAGTAAAAATGGAACTGCAGTTTTGATATGTCATCCCCAAGTCACTGATACAGTGATGCTTTCTGCTTGTGCAGTGTTACATATTTCTTCCTTACATGTTAAAAATATACAGCCCAGAGCAGCTTCTACGGTATGTAGTCATTATAGCAGACTCTGATTTTCACCATTGTATGGTTTGGCCCATAAAATGCTAAAGCATTTCCTGTACTTGTAGACATTCTTTCCACCCCTCTTGCCAGTACAGAATTCAGTTGTTACATCATGGGAACAACTTTTGTGCCCTTTTCCATTGCTTCTTATATGGCCAAGGATTCTTAAAACTTCATACTGTGGTCAGTGATCTCTATGAGGTCTTGATCTCAAGCCTGGTGCTTTATTTTTCTCCCAGCTCAGATGACTCTGAAGATTTTAAGGAGTCATCTAATTGGATTTTAACAACTGTGTAATTACTGTTGCTAGATTGGTCCTAAGGAAATTTATCTGGACCAATGCCCTTAGGGATGATAAATATTCAAATTTATAGTTAGCCTTATCTGGATGTAGAGTAACAAGAGATTCCAGCATATGTTAATGAATAATTTAAATTATAAATCAGGTAGAAATCAGCTAAATTGGATTAATGTATCCCCCTTGGATTTAAATCATACGTACTTTCAGTATGGTCAACAATTAAATACCAATCAAATGTTTTTATTTTATTAAAACAGTTTGCCCTTTTTCTTACTATAAGGTAAAGTATTTTTATAAATACACTGCTTACAGTGTTCTTGAAAACACATTTTAAGGCACCTTTCAAAACATGACATCAATACTAATAAGGCCATTTGAATACAGTCACGCTTTGTGCATACACACATACATATACTTATAATAAGGTTATCAAAAATGCAGACACAGATTTTTGTGTTACAAAAGTATTCAGATACCATACTTACTTGGACTTATTTTAACTTCACATATTTTGTTCTCATCTAATCAAAGTGATGCTTGCATTTTTCTTTGGTTGAAATTATTTTTATTCAGGAAGAAAAGGATACCCTCGAGGTTTTTCATAAATAGAATCTGCTGATATGAACATAAATGAGGGATGATGATTATTATGATTTGTTACAGGTCTGAAGTATTATCATGGCTTCCAGCTTCTGCACTTTTTGTGGGTATTATTTATTCAGGTTCCAGGGCATTATCTAGATTGGTAAGATATTCAAATAGTATTTGGCATGCCTTTTTATTAATGTTTTACTGCAAATGTCATACAAGGTTGAAGTAATTAATATTACCATAGTTAAAGACACATGTCGAACATTGAAAATTTAATAGATAATTCTAGAGGTCATAATAAAGCTTACTGCACAAGCAGTACACAGTCAGTAATTCCATTTCTAACTTCCAATTCTGCAGAAAATCTGTGCAATTTGATTGCAAGTTTTGAATATGTCTGGCATGGATTAATATAAAGATATTCCTTCAGTCAAATATCATTCATAAAGTAGTGCCCAAAAGGTTGCTACCACAATACACATAATAACTGAAAATAATTCCATCAATAAATTGGTCAAATTCATCTTTATAACCTGGCTGTTTGGTCTTAAGTAAAAACATACATCTGAGTTACAAACAACTCATATAGAATTGTGTACCAAGTTATGTAAACATGAAGGTAAACATTGGACTGGGCCCAAATTCCTGCCCTCTTCTTAATTCCTTTAACCTTTCATTATCCCCCTTCCCGCCCAATAAAAGGATTCTGAGTTTCAGACCGAGGAGAATCACAAAGGTAATTTCTACAGTTGAAATATCACCGATATTATTCAGAATACTGCTGTCAGAAGAGGGCCTAAGGACATATGTTGGCCTGCTTGTTTCTCCTTTGTCTAAGAATTGAGGTTTGTAATGAGGTGGATCCTCATCTGGCTGAGATGAATTGATCAGATGTGGGATTTGGAGAGATGGGAACTGAAATTGATCGGTCCAACATAATTTCCTTTCCTAAAGACTAAAAGGACTAAAAATGACAATCAAAGACAATAAACATCTGGTGAAAGTTAGCTGAGCTGGGCAATCTGGAGCCATAGTTGGCAGAAAAACATTTCTCTTGGCCCTATGAAGAGCCAATAGCATAAGGGAGGTGAAAGGTGTGTGTACGTAAATATATTAATTTGGCTGCAGAAAAGGAAAAAAAAGTAAATTCTGATGTCAGATTTCCTAGGATAGCATTATTCTAGTGTTTCCTTTCATTGTGCTCTAGTTCAAAAAACTCATGCTTAGCCATGGATCTTCCTTCTCTCTCAGCAACAAATATGGCAACAGGCCCAGCAGTGGAGCTGTGAGCTGGGTTTTTTTTTTCTTTTCCTAATTCTTTCAGGCTTGTTATCTGTGTGCCTTGTTCCTTTTTTCCCCAATACTGGTTCTTACAAGTTCCCAGGTAATTAAAATAAAACTTTTGTAACGGTGATCTCTTAGATTTACTCATTCCTGAACATGCTTTGTATCTTCAGTTAACTTAGAACAAATAAATTGTCTATTGAAAACATTTGCTAGAGTCAAAATATTGAAAAACACTTCAAAGAGGCTTCGTATCCAAAAAGATTTTCTTATAAGTTAATTTGTCTAGACATTCAGTATTTCAAACTTCCCATGTTTCCATTCCATTTTTGGAATAAGAAAATGAGTTAACAGGAAAAATCTGCATATACAATTCCCTCCCTCCTTTTTGGTGACTCAGGTTATCAATGCCTCTGCTGACATAGTCATAATACCATCTCTTTCAGAGATGGAGGCAGGCTTCTGAGAGGTTCTATCAAGTGTCTGATTTTAGTGCCATCAGATGGGCAGAAAGTGATGGCAGCTTGATTTATAGGGTCTGCAATGCTAACTTTGTTGGTCCCATTTTCTTTCCTGGCAGCCAATTCCTATCTTTCTTACCTTACACAATGCTGCAGATGTTATATTTTATGGAGTGGAAGTCTCAGTGCAGAAAGAGGTATGGAAAATTAATTAAATAGCCCTTATACCCCTGTATATCAGGTTTCTGTAGTCCCTTTGTTATCTATATTTTCTTAGGCTAAATATTTCAGACATTCATACATGCAAACAGATTAAATACAATACTTTTGCATCTGCTAAGCATTCTATTACCACAATTTGGGATGTGTATGTAATCTTTGGAGGGAACACATTCTCTTTCATTTGTTTGGGTAGCTGTTGATAGAAAGTTTGCTACCAGCATATGGAATTGTGATATATAGGATCACTAGAGATTATTTTAAGTTTAAGAGATATATACGATCTATAGACAACTGGATGCCTAATCCAGTATATTGGAGTCAATGCTAAGGAAACACAGCCTGAAATCTTTGAACAAATTGTAACCTTTGAACTAGTTGCTCTCATAGCTTAGCAGATGTTCCTGATTGTGAGGTAAAATAAGTTTGGACTTATATTATTGAAATCACAATAATTGAAATTCCATCAGAAAACAGGTGACATTTAAATGTATGGTAAAGTTTTCTTTCATTAATCACGTTTTTGAATGTGAGGTTTTTTTTGATATTGTATTTTTTTTCTTAACAGCAGAACTCTTCCCTAAAACTCTGCAGGTAAGTTTCCAATGTTTGTCTAACATGGAAATGTATGGAATTCCCAGAGACAGTACCTGAACAGTTGATCCTTTATTTAATAAAGAGTTAGGAGTGTTCATCATATATTATATGGTAGGTTGTGATGAGTTTGAATAATGCAATACTCAGTTTAGTGTGAATTGTAAATTGATACTAGATCATGTTTAATGCAACTCAAAATTTAGTTAATGCAAGATTAATGTGTGTGCAGTTGAGGCAAACACCTGAGCAATTGAAGTTGGAGTTTAGATGCTGCTCAACTTCATATGTGCAAAATGGAGAAAAGGATGATTCAATGGAAAACAGTACATCAGAACAGTATTTTTCAAACTTGGCAACTTTAAAACATGTTGACTTCAACTTCCAGAATTCTCCAATCAGCATAGCAAAGTGATAGAAATATCACTTTGAATAGTGCAAATTCGAATAATGCAGTCATTTTTGTGAAACTCATTAACTGCGCTAATTGAGACCTACCTTATGTAGATTGCAATGTATGTGGTATTTTACTTAGTTAAATCACAATCCTGTTAAAATCTATGACCAATGTACATAGTGTTTATAATCAAAAATACAATTGTTTAAAAATATTTTCAGAACATTCTTTTTTCAGGATTATAATTGGGCTTCAATTTGCATTTGCACCTGTCAAGATTTGATAGGGTGGTTTAGTAATAAGTTTTCTATTCTTTAATTTTCTATTGCTGATAATATGTCTCTGCACTACATCCTACAACATCTTGAATCTCCAAGGACCTATGCAAGGGTCCTTTTTATAGACTTCAGCTCAGCATTCAATACTATCATTCTAGATATTCTTCTAACTAAACTGGTTTAACTAGCCGTGCCTGACCTTACTTGTAAGTGGATCATAAGCTTTCTAACAGATAGGAAGCCAGGTGAAGTTAAGCAAAATCACATCAGATACCTGTGCAATTAGCACAGCCCCTAGCCCCCAGGGCTGTGTACTCTCTCCATTTCATATATATATATATATATATATATATACATACACACACACACACACACACCAATGACAGAATCTCAAAAGATCCCTCTGATAAAGTACTGAAGTTAGCAGATGATACAACAGTGATTGGTCTCATTCAAGACAATGACGAATCTGCATACAGACGGCACGTTGAACAACTAGCCTTGTGGTGCGACGGGAACAATCTTGAAGTAAATACACTCAAAACCGTAGAAATAATGGTAGACTTTAGGAGAAACCCTCCAATACGACCACCTCTTACAATCCTAACCAACACAGTATCAACAGTAGAGACCTTCAAATTTCTAGGCTCTATACTATCTCAACTTAAAATGGACACCTAACAACAAAAATACCATTAAAAAAGCACAACAAAGAATGTTCTTCCTGTGCCAACTTAGAAAGCTCAGACTGCCCAAGGAGCTGCTGATACAGTTCTACAAAGGAATGATTTGAGTCTGTCATTTGCACCTCTATAACTGTCTGGTTTGGCACTGCAACCAAACTTCAGTTAATAGTTAGGCCTGCAGAAAAAACAATTGCTATCAGCCTACTTTTCACTGAAGACCAGTATACTGCACAAGGCAGAAAGAGGGCTGTGAAAATATCTTCAGATCCCACACATCCTGGGCATAAACTATTTCAACTTCTTCACTCAATATGATGCTAAAGGGCATTGCATACCAGAACAACTAGACCAGTGGTGGCTAACCTTTTCAGCACTGAATGCTGAAATGGGAGCGCGCGCGCACACACACACATACACCGGAAACCAGAAGAGCCGCCCTCGCTGCATGCGTCCAGGAGCACTGGAAACCAGAAGCTTAGCTTTCCGGTGCGCGCATATGCGTGCATGCCAGAACCCAAAAGAGCACCAGGTAACAGCTGGCATGCCCAGAGGGATGGCTCTGGGTGCCACTTCCGGCACGTATGGCATAGGTTCGCCATCACGGAACTAGACACTAGGACAGTTTTTTCCCCCATGCCATCATTGTACTGGTATATGTTGGTATATGTTTTACCTCATTCAAAAATAAATTGCAGGAGGATAAGGAGATGGGGAAAACAGGGAGTCTGGGTGAGAAAGAAGATTTCTTTGTCAAGATAGAATTTAAATATCCGATCAGGGCATTCTTTTTTACTCCCATCTGTTTGTTTTTTTAAATATAATTTTTCAGCTGTCTTTCAAATAATTTTTCTCCAGACAACAAAACATACAGTACATAATAAAATCATTCTAAAACAAATATTAGAAGTGACATTAAAATAAAACACAAGAACTATGGTAGTCAGAGGAGCAGTAAAAAGCCATTCCATTTTAAAACAAGTCAATCTATCAAGCAATTTAAAATTAGGGTTATGTTATGTTAAATGAAAAAAATAGAGGTCATCACCTCTGTGCACTTATTGCCACTGTAATGGAACCCATCCACCTTGCTGGTTGTCTTCCACTTCTCCTTCTATCCATCTTTCCCAGCATTAGAACCTTTTGGCATAATGCGTCCCAGGTACAATTATTTCATTCTGGTTATTTGTGCCTCAAGTAAGAACTCTAGATTGATTCGGTCAAATTGTTTCCTTGGCAATCTACGCTATTCTCAGGAATCCTGCAAAACACTAAAAGGTCAAAGGTGTTTAAAGGCATCAATTCCTGTCCTGTTTCTTCAAAGTCCAACTTTTGCTTCTGTGTTATAACAACAACAACAGCAATAATATACAATGATAAATATAAGGTTGAAGCCAGGCTGATTTAATTAATACATTAGCACTTGTGTTTGTGGAGATTCTCTTCCTCAGGGGGAAAAACCAGTCCAGTTGCCTTTTGAAAAAGCAACATAAACTAGCACTCAACTCTCTGATCAGCCATGAGGTTCTCTGGAGATTTTGGACCAGATACGGTTTCAAAGGATTATTATGAGAATAAAAAAAACCGTGGCAGGAGTGACATATGCACTTTCTGATCTTGTTGGAAGAAAGAGCAAATGTTAACATAAAAAGTATATATTATTTTTAACCACAGTTTGAAATAGAAACGTATAATTTCTTGAAAAGTCTGGTGCTAAGTGCCCTTTTAATCTTTAATTGCAGAGTGCTGATTCTTCTGGTGGCTGCAGGAGGGCTTCTGTTCAATGACCCACAGGTTAGTTGTTTTCAAAGAAATCCTGAACTTGGTATGAAAAGCACAAACTCTCTTGTAACAAATGCCTGAAATAATGACAGAATGAACTTCACTAAGTGGTTTTGAACTAAGGAGTATTTCACCTAGAACAGAGTATCTCAACTTTAGCAAGTTAAAATGTGTGGACTTCGACCCCAGAATATTCTCCAGTCAGCATGCATGTCCGCCCACTGCATTTCACTACCTTTTTCTTAATATTTCTTTAGAATTAACTTTTAGGAATATATTCGACTTGCTTATTAGTAGACTTGGCCAAAGATGAGGTTGCTGGTTTTGCTTTTTCTATATAATTGGGTATGAAAACTAGAAGATTGTTGCTGTGATGAGGTGATGCATAAGATGCTTTTATTAATAAAGTATTCCTTACTGTAACAGTCACATTTTGAAACAAGGGCACTTTGATCTTTTATTTTGCAGTTTGATATAGATGGCTATTTTTGGGCCCTCATTCACCTACTATGTGTTGGTAAGTTTTTAATAAATTAGCAAATAAATTATTCAACTTTCTGGCCTATGTCTAGCACCTCTTTGCTATGAATCTCACTTTTCTGTCATTACTCCATATGGTATCTGGTGGCTTACATAAGCATGGTCTTTCTTACTTTCTCCTGGAATAGAAAATCGTAGAATAGAAAACTCCTAACCTCTCCTCTCCAAAGATCCATGTTTGCTCCAACTTTACACTGAATTATATAGCACTGTGAAAATGGAAAAATAAATTAACAGAATCAAGTGGGAGATCACAGCACATAGGCAAAAAAAAATTAGAATTAGGAAAATAAATTTAATCTGTATTAGGTAGGAAAAATGATTGTTATAAATACAAAATGCAACCCAAGCAGAAATGGCTTTGATGTTGTAGAAAGTTTGGATTTTTATACAGGTGAACAAATTTTTAACCATAGCTCTGTGTCTCCCTTTTTAAAACTAGCTATACCGGAGAATGGAAAATGTATTAGGGCTTTATGTTTTTTCTTTCACAGGGGCCTACAAAGTTTTTTACAAGCTGTGGAAACCAAATTCTCTGAGGTGATTTATATTTTTTCTGAATATGCAATATTTAAAATAATGCTACCTGATCTGGAGAAGGAGAAAAATATGTTCTTTAGCTTTTCATATTAAATGATTAATATAAGACAAATAAGGATAAATAAGGAGGCAGAAGGAAGAAATTGATGGTTGTCTTCTACAAGTATAGGCTAACTTTCCATAGTTTAATACTCTTAAGATGTATTGGAACTAAAATTCTCAGAATTTCTTAGCCAGCCTATCCAGTAGAAAAATAGGCACTTTGGTGGGAAGGTAACTGCGCTTCGAGATTTCATGCTGGCCACATGACCGCAGAAACGTCTCTGGACAGCGCTGGTTCCATGGCCTTGAAATTGAGATGAACATCACCACTTAAAAAGGGCAACAACTACTGGAGTAAAATCTGCAGGGACTCCTTTACTTTACCTTACTTATCCAGCAGTAATTTAAAATTCTGGAAATTACTTTTGGTCCCAACATATCTAGAAAAACCTTGTTTGAAAGAATAGCATTATTAGAAACAGATGTAATGAATGGAAATATTGGTCAGTAGAAGATTCTTATCATTCATTATGGCAATTAAATAAGCTTTAGAGCACAGAAGGTATTAGTAGATTTATTTTATGTATAAAATTTATCGATTGCCTTTGTTCGGAGGGACTCCAGGCAGTATACAGGTTTAAAACATAATATTTGATATATAGTTTGATGGGAAACAGTAACAACCACACCAACTTCATTAACTCCAACCAATCCCCACCCAAAGACATTACAAAAAAAAATACCAAATGTATATTTGCCTTCAGGTAATGAGCATGGGAGTCACCTTTGCTTCTGGAGACAATCTTCCAAAAGAGAGGAGTCTGCACAAAGAACATCCTCCATCAAGCTCTTCCCTTTACATCTTATAATAGGCGGACATTTTCAACAGATGCATTCTGCTTATCCAGATCAATTGTCCATCTCTCAAGCCAAAGTCAATGGCAACAGAAAGTACAGAGATAAGACAGGACTCCATAAATAATTGGTTTACTCCCTGAAAATGTAATTGAAATATAGATACATAACTTGTAGATGGCTATATTTTTGATTGAAGACAATCTTTGAAAACAACGTCAATCTTTTTCAAATTCCACAGACTGTTGAGGTATTCCCCATTAGGAGAATGAGTGTTCTCAGGGAAGCGTAGTGAGACTGATGTTGAATAACACACAACCAGCATACAGATACACTGAATAGTAAAATATAGGTTTTACTTCCAGTAAACAGTTAATCAAAGTCCAACAAACAGTCCAAGTTATACACAGTTAAAGCAGTCAGTTTTCAGTCCAGGGATAATCCAAATAACAAAGACCAGTATCATAAACAATTTAGTAAACAGACTTACAGCAATCCAAGAAGAATGACAATCAGCAACAGTCAATAGGGAAAAATGCAAACCAACCAACATCGAACATCAGAACATCTAGCAACATCTAGCAACAGTGGAAACCATGTTTCTGGCTCCATCTTATGGCCGTTTGAGGAACCACACCCAATTACAATTACATCATTCGCTCAAAGAGACAGTATTAAATGTCTATCCTGGTTTATATATTTCAATTCCTAACACAGACCTATTAAACATCTTATTTTCTAATATGAAGGCAAAAATGCTTGTTTTAGATCAGAGTGTGAAAAATGTGTGGGAAAGCCTGATCTGTAGTTTTCTGGAACCAAAAACACTACTCCAGCAATTTCTGTCATCTTATCACAGAAATGATAGGAAGATCAGCTTTATTAAACTTCTGCCACTTCTTGTTAGCTATGTGTTGTATTTAAGTACTTTGGTGAAACATTTTAATCTCCAAGACATCTCTAGATGTCACACAATATACAATCAAGCTAACATGTTAGATTAAAGGATCCGCCTAAATCAGATTCAAGAAATCTCATAATTGAGAGCAAATAAAAGTACCGTAAGGTGTAAGTGTATGTTTGTGTATCTAATTATTTAAGGAATTATTAATATTGTTTTGGCAGAGTTCTGACATTAAAGTAACTGGCTCTTTTTTCCCCCCCTCAGTATCTCTGAACAACAATACATAAACTATGCATTCAGGTACATTATATTTTGATTAAGAAAAAATATGGAATGTTTACCATCTCTTCATAACTGTATGAATATTAAGTTGAATGTTAAGTTATTACCTATAATATTTATATTGCTCATTCATCTTATTTAGTTCTATTTTTACTTAGTTAGATTTTGAAGGAAACACCAAAGTAATTTTCGTATACAAATTTCAGCTGATTATAAAAAAGTACTGCATTTTGAATTGAATGTGATATAAAGTGATGCCCCAGAGCAATTATTCCACATTCCGTGGAATCTATACTGAGAATCACATGGATCTAAACAAATGATATTTTTGTGTCAACATTCAGGAATGCTGCTTACATTTGTAACAAATGTCTTTCAGTGGGCATCTGCAGTCTTAGACTCACAAATATAGAACCATGTTGTATTTATAGAATTCTCGTACCCAGATGGATCAGAAGATAGTCCAAAGAATCTATAGCCATCTTGAGAATATTTTTAGATGAATTGAGAAAGGTCTCTGGAATAGTCTTAGATTAAAGAGGTGTATTGTAATAAATAACGGGTTATCTACTAGATATTAAAATTTATAATTGCATCTTTTATTTCTAGTGTGGTGATGTTGGTGTTTGCATCCCACCCAACAGGTAAAAATATCAATAATTATTATTAGTATATGTGTATGTGCAGTTTTCAGATATATTATTTCGTTAAGCATGCTACTTAAGAATTTAGTTTGAGTGTGTGTTCAACCACACATACAAATCATTTTTACACACTTGGGACTCTATTCCTTTTAAAGAATTAGCTAATCCAAAAATAGCCTGAAATCGCATCCAGAGATGCTCTGATATTGCATGACTTGGGAGCTGCACATGGATAGCAGATATTGTGAACATGTGCACATTCGAGGGCACCATTAGTGTGATGCTGAGGCCAATGACTGCAACGCAGCTTCATGTGAAAAATTTAAATTGTGTGCGATTGCATCTAATTTCAAGTCAAGCTTTCTTTCTACTGATGGTCTAGAAAAGAGAGAATTCAGATTTGCCAGTAAGGTACTTTTACTTCTAGCATACTATAACACAGAATTTAGTTTTTTACATTCTGATCTCCTCTCCAAAGATTGTGAAATAAACTACGAGTTCTAGTTCCTCCTTAGGTGGGAGGGTAACCTGGGACTAGTTACCTTAGCCTGCTGGATAACCTTGGACTAGCTATTTTCTCTGAGGCTTAAGATGGAGGCAATGGCAAATCACTTCTGAAAAAGGAAACTTCATGGACATGTCCAGCAATTTCAGAGCATTGAACACGATTAAATGGGAAAAACAGACAAGTCTTTAGTTTACAAAGTTAGGCTAGTTTAGTTTGCTATGGCTCTTAGCCAACAACGTTGGACTAGACCTCCAAGGTTCCTTACAACTCTGATATTCTGTTATCCAAAAACAAGCTAGGGTAGTTGTTGTGGCATGGCCTTCCCTCCAGATCTGTTGAATCTGCATGTCCCAGATTCCCTCAAATATTAAGGCAGGCCACTTTAAAGAATACACAGAGTTGGAAATCTTGTTTCAGCAATAAAAAAAAGAAAAACAAAAAGTGGGCAAGGCTTTATTTACCCCAATTCTCTCAGATGAAGAACATGGGCAGGTGCAAAATAAGTTGACTTCTATTGTCTATCAGCCTTTTTTTTATAAACTCTTACACTTATTCTAATTCCTTAACTAATGACTAATACATTTTTCTGGTCTGCTATTCAGGGGAAGATAATGGAAATTTGTAAATCTTGCAGGATCTGATTACAAGTAGTACTCAACTTACAACCATTTATTCAGTGACTGTTCAAAATTACAATGGAACTGAAAAAATGTGATTTATGACTGTTTTTCACACGTTTATGACCATTGCTGCACCCCCGCGGTCAAATGTGGACACTTCCATGTATTTATGATGGTTGCATTGTCCTGGGGTTATATAATCCCCTTTGTGACCTTCTGACAAGCAAAGTCAATGGGGAACCTAGATTCACTTAACAACTAAGTTACTAACTTAACAACTTCAGTGATTCACTTAACAATTGGGGCAAGAAAAGACATAAAATGAGACAAAATTCACTTAACAACTGTCTTGCTTGGAAATTTTGGGCTCAATTCTGGTCGTATGTCAAGGACTACTGTGTTCTTCAAAGACCATAAAAATCTCTGATTTTTAGGAGATAGAATACATTTAACATGCAATGATATTGAAGAACACCTCTTTTGTGCAAGGTATCCCTCCTTTATGAAACCCTAAAATGCAATCCAATTGCTATCTTCTTCTTCCCTATCTTTGCAGTTTCTTCTTCTCTTTACAACAATTCAAGGTGATGGAGGGAAATAGTCAGTGCTTGCAAGTATTTCCTATGGCATTATATGGAGTAAAAAAGAATTAATATAGTCAGTGGAAAACAAATTACTCCCTGAACGGCCATAATTATAAATGGGAGTCTTGCTCATGAATTTCCATGGAAAATACAAACATTTTTAAAGTAGAAACATACTCCTTAAAGGGCATTCTTCCTTTTTTACAACCTGATTTCAGACTGATGAGAAAGAGAATGAAATGTTGTAAAAGCAATGGCAAATTACTGAAGTGATAAAAATCATGTTAAAACCAAGAACAAGCCATTCAGTTCCAGTTTTATAATGTGTTCCTCTGTTCTGTCCATTTTTCAACCGAGCAACCAAATACTGGTGCCATTTAAAAACAAACAAACTAAAAATACGATTTTATTTCTTAGGTGATCTCTTCAGTTCCTTGGAATTTCCACTCCTGTACTTTTACATCTTTCACAGCAGTTGCCTTGCCAGGTAGCTTTTCAGACTACAAGCCAGACCTTATGATATCGGTGGGAAACAAAGTATTATATTGTTGATGACTGGTAAAGGTGCTTCTTTTTTTCTAGGCTCAAGTATAGTCCAAAGCATTCAATTATTGGTCCCCAGTGATGCATCATACTAATCTGAAATTTAATCAAATGTTTTCTTCAAAATATGCCAAACATTATAATGTGAATAAATTATAGGATCATTTGCAGCAAAAGGCTGCATAAAATTTTGCTGGGGATTATACAAGTAATAGTGCAGCACTCAAGAAAGGCATCAATGCAGGAAAAGTTAATTCAAGTGAATTAGACCAAAATCCCAACATGTGTCTGTCCAAAAGTAATGTTACCCACAGGATGCAGTGTAAATGTTAATTTTTAAATCATTTTGTCCCTTCAGTTTTGTTGAAGCATGCTTCTAAAATGTATTGTTATTTAGACTGAACCATTTTTTTAAATGTTAGTGAGATTTCTCAGCTGATCTCTCCAGCTCTGACATTTTTGAGGCATTCTTCAGCTACCTCTTGAGTTAAAAATAGATTTATTAGTCTTGATGGCAACTGGGACCAGAATTTATGTTGCTAAGCAGTAGGTTGTAAAGTGCAATGCTATGTGACTGCATCACTTAATGATGGCAATCCTGCAGACCTGGTGCTGGAATAACTGTAGGACTGGGTGGGTCATTAAGAGGGAAGAAGCCAGAGTCACAGAGAAGCAGGCCAGTGGTACACAAATGCTGCTGGGGAGGTGGGGAGGAATACTACAGGCAGGCTCTGAGTTTAGGTGGGCTGCAGGTACTGCAGGGGATGCCAGAAGCAGGCCTGATGGAGTGGAGGCAGTTGAAAAAGCAGTGGAAGAAATATCCAACTTCCTGCCAGCTTTCCCCTTGACTTTGCTTGAGGGAAGCTGCCAGGGAATATCAGAAATTGTGAAATGACGGTGCTTCACTACACTGTTGAAATTGCGAATTGGACACCAAGTGTCTGGATCACAATCATGCGACCATTGAGACAATTTGACAGCCACAACTCTGCAGACAGGTTATACGTCTCATTTAGTACCATTGTAATTTTGAATGATCTATGATAACTTGCTGCAGCCAACAAACCATAGGCCAACTCGTCATGGCCAACTTGCCATGGAACAACTCGTTATAGGACAAGAATTACATCAATATCAAAGAAATAGTCAAATAGAATCATTAAAGAAAGGTTGTCAAATGTGAAGGGCAAAAGTTAAAATAATATTTTAATTATCTTAAATAATTAAATTGTTGAATTATCCCACAAGAAGTTGTCCCAAGATGAGTTGTCCATCGCAAATTGTCCCACAGCAAGTTGGCTGTGGAGAATTGGCCATAGCAAATTGGCTATGGCAAATTGACCATGGTGAGTTGGCTGTGGTGAGTTGTCCCATTCACACTGAACAAGTGATTGTAATTCAAGAACTACCTTTATTTTGAGTACAGAAGCATACCATCACATTTGTATTCTGGTCTTTTGCCACTGAGAGATGCTTTAGAGCAGCAGTCCCCAATCTTTCCAGCTCTGCAGATTGGTGGGAGGGGGCACGAGCGGATAGTTTCACAGGCGTGTACACTGCTTGCACAAAGGCAGCTTCATGCACTCGCCTGCTGCTTGCGCCGCCTAGTTCTCAGTGGGCTGCAGGTTGGTATCGGGCCATGGACCAGGGATTGGGAACCCTGGTTTAGAGGACATGATTTTAATATTCCAAAAATTGCCTCCTGAAAAATAGTGACTCTCTAAAATCTCCCAGTGAACTGAATATCTGAATAAGATTTGCACCATGGTTTAAAGATTTGCAGACTACTGTATTACCTACAGAATCCTGGCCCAGGGTTTGTCCTGACCAAACAAAGCATCTTTAAGCATGTTCTGCCACTAGGATGCTCCTGCCAGCAAAAAGGAAGAGTGGGGTTTTTTTTTTTTTTGCTGATTGGATTTTCTTTTTGTAGCTTAATTTCTCCCACCACAATCTGTTCCAGAATTAGAATGATCCTGCAAAGGGAGAAGGAATTGGAGAACATTCATCATCCTGCCTTCCTTGATGGGATTCTTTATTTCTAAAGCATCTTTCACTAATGTGCCTGCCATGGTCAATTGTGAGAAATAATATCCAATACATCTGGAGGACATCATGTTGAGAATGCTGGTTTAAAGCTTTCCATATGTGATGGAAAAGTGATAGATACATAGGGTTGTTGCTTATCTCTAAAAAACATTAAGTTATCTTTTAAGAATCTTATTTGAACACAAAAACTTAACTAACACATTTTTCTACTACCCACCACAGTGGACTTCTGGGATTTCTTCTGACTTTATATACTATGAAACTTAAAAGCAGCATCTCCTCAGGACAGTATTTAGCTTGGAATTTCTTAGCAAAGGTAAGATGATTACTATTCTATAACTCAAAAGTTTAAGTGAGCATTTTCTTTAATTTAGTCATTAGTGTTAATATATTAGTTCCTGTTGTTCACATACCATTGTATTTGGCTATTATTTGTTTTCTATAATGTAATAAATATGCAATAAAACAATAAAAAGAAGACAGTCTTTTCTCACTATGTAATTCCATCTCCTTCACAGATTACATCAAATGATATATAGATCTTCCCTAAATATACTTTATGTGTTTTTTAAATATTGTAGCAATTCTTTGAGGTCTGGTAGAACAGAACATATGCTTCTTTAAGCATTTTCCCCAAAACCAAAAAAATGGGTTTTATTTGAAATCTACAATGTAAATGGTATTATTACATTGGAAATCACAGTCATACTTCTGCAGCCGATGGGAGTATTGGGGTTTTTCAGTGCACTCTTCCTTTAATTGATACTTAATTTCAGTACTTAATTTCCATGTGGTATTGCAAGTCCTACTATAACTTCATCCTCTATTGACTCTTAACTTTTTGTCATGTGGCTTTTCTTTCTTTCCGGTTACATATTTCATATGTAAGAAATATTACATAATATTATTGTATAAAATGCTCAAATGTATAAAGCATCTTCCTACAACCACTCAGAATGCTGGGCATCATTAATAATGCAAGAGAAAAAAAATGTAGATAAATTTGCTGCCAAGCTAGCATTCATAAAGCTTAGTAAAAGGTATTCTGCGTGTAGATTTACTGCTGTGTTATCACAAAGCTGATATATGCAGGGATATTTGGCTATTGTTTTTTTTTTGTAATTAGTCTTGCCTCATTATGACTTTTATATGCCTCTCAGATTTTTTTCCTCAAACATCTAAGCAAATGTGATCAAATATAAACAGAGATAACATAAGAATTGGTGGTAGAGGAGAAGGCTAGCCGTTTCTTTTATTTTTCTGGTGGGAGAATGAAAGGATTATTGTTCATTCATGATCCAGGCTAGCTTATTGTGAACATAATATACACGGGGCACAAAACTACCTGTTGTTCAAGGATTGCCTGACATTTTCTTCAATCAAAAATGATTTATGAAAATATAAATATTCCCCATGATTATAACAGAAAAAGATAGAGGCAACAGCAACTGATTCCATTTAACTAGGTGTTGAAAAGGTCACTGTGATCTCTGAATATAATAGTGAACATTGGTCCTAAGGCATACCCAAAGCCAACTGATTCAATTTTCATCTAATGCTAATACCTGAAGAAGATGTCTAATATAGAGGGCATTGGTACAAGGGACTTGTTGCAGCTATAAATGTAGGCTTTTTGCTTGTTTCCATAGAGATGACATGATAACTGAGGCACCCAGCACTAATTATTCAGCACTCAAATTGATGCAGACTCCTCAAAATAATCTCGATAATGCTTGTGTTTGATATAATTAGATTTCTTTTTTAATGCTGATACATTAAAAAGTACAATTTCTCTCATGAGATTTAAGCTATCAAAATGAGCTTTTGCAGTTCAAACCTATAGAAAAACAATCTAAGGAAGAATATGGTAAGTGCAATATAGGCTATATTTCATCCTAGTCTTAATACTGCCTCATTTACCTTGGTATAAATTAGAGTTGCAAGCAATTTAATCAGTTCATTCACACTGGCCATTCTCATCCATGTCAATCACTGCAGATACTAATTAAGAACATGATCTGAACGCATTATGATCTTGCTGAAACTAAGCTGGTTTGGAAGTCCTATTAAGAACCTTCATTTCATGCCATGAACTCTACAATAGAAGGCAAATGCAATCAAAATATAATAAACATTTACAGTGAAATAGCAATCTTGTCCTTTCCATCACCAAGCAACCAGGAGCTAGTGAATTTTTCTTCCTTTCTGGTTACATCAGATTGTATAAAATGCTGAAAAGTATAGAGCATTGCCAAGTTACCCATAATCATAACATTATTATATTTGTAATGCATCTTCCACTTTACCATTTCAAATGTTACTTCTATTTCCTAATAAAACAATATGAGCGAGTTCCAGAATCTGTAAAATCATTAAGAATTATTCTCTGTATAATACTTTCCTGAGCCCACCTTGGCAAACCAAGGTTTTTATTTAGTCTTTCTCTTACACTATTTATAGTCATTTGGTATAAACTAAACAATGATTCATGGGGACAGTAAAGGAGAAAATAATAACAAGAATTGGTCTGGGAATAATTTGCAAACACATATGCCAGATGATTGAATGTTGACAAATGTTCAGATTTTAGAATATACTGAAATTACATAGTATTATGTCACAAGTACAGTTTCCATTCTTATTCAGTGCAATAGCTTAGTTTCTTTCAGGATAGCTTGATTTTCAGGTTTGTCCTTGATTCCAAATTTTATCTGATAACTTGTCCTTATTTCATGTTTCTTGGTACAATTCTAGTGGGAAGAAATAGGTATTTGGTAGAAGCTATGGGACAGGGAAGATAAAGGGATAAAAATAGGCCAGAGCAAGGAAAACAGAGTCATATCTGTGTTAGTGGTCCTTTGGAGAAATTATTAATACTGCCAGGACTCTGCCTGGAGTAGTCAGATTGGTTAAAAAAATAGCTGACTGAGGGAAGAAACACAAAATAAAATTAAACATAAAACAATTATGCCGAGCAAGCTGACTTAACGTACATGATACAGAAACTTGGGCTGCAAAAAAAGTTGAAATTAATTTATCCCAACTGTATTTACACATACAGCTGCCTGTAATATCTAAAATGACAAACCGGCCTGGTAACACCTTGAAAACGTGGGCCAATGCCACGTTAAGGGTCCCAGTTCTGGGAAGGAAGAGCTCAAGATCTTAAGCCAGTCCCAGGCTCAGGAGAAATTGACCAGCTGTTGATTTGCAGTGGAAAACCTTAAAAACAACTAGGCAAGAAATGAGTTCTCCAACACAGAGCTAGCATTGCCAATCTTTCTGTAGAAAAATGAAACATAACACAACCCCCATTCCCTCTTTTCTTCTTTTTTGCTTTTCCATTACATCATCTGAGAAACAGCAGACATACTGCAAGTGACAGAATTTAAAAAATTAGCTGTGGGGACAAACGGAACAGGATCAACAAAGCTGTTTATTTTGTTCTTTTTAAAAAAATCGGGCTTAGGAGCACTGCCCCCCTCTTTTGATATCTCAATAACAGACTGGAATTTAAAATGGAAGTGGAAAATAAGCATAAATATCTTTAATGCACATCAATAGAGCCATAATATAAATATTGTGGGTTTTGTTTTAAAGTGCTGTAAGATGCCCAAAGTCAGTTTATTGTCAGTCGGGTGGCTATACAAATATAAGTAAAAATAACAGAAGTGTTCTTTTCTACAATGGAATTAAGCAGATAGTTTTCTTATGCTGCTCCAAGTGCCACTATCTTCTCAAGTAATTTTCATTTTTGCTAAATAATATCAATGTGTCAGTGTTTTATTTCGTAAAAGCTTTGAGTGCTAGTATGGTGATTTAATGTGGACTCTTTCCTCATTCACACCTAACTACGTCATATGTGGTTTTTGCAATTGGGCTTGTTAGAGGCTTGTTGCCACTGCATATCTTTAGGTCTATTTTCTGTTTGCAAAGTACGCACACCAGTGGTGGGATTAAATTTTTTTTACTACCAGTTCTGTGGGCGTGGCTTGGTGCGTGTGGCAAGGGAAGGATACTGTAAAATCTTCAGTCAGAGGTGGTATTTGCCGGTTCTCTGAACTGCTCAAAATTTCCACTACCGGTTCTCCAGAACTGGTCAGAACCTGCTGAATACCACCTGGCGCACACATACAACATGCATGCATAATTCTTGCTTTGATACAGTTTTTTTTAAAAAATGAAATCAATCCTTTCATGCTTTCATGCTACCTGTAACTTGGAGAAAAGAGAAGAGAGAATTGAGAATTTCTTTTCCTCCTCTACTTTCACCTTGGCAAAGTGCCTTACTTTAATTTCCTAATTTATTATTTTTAATACATTTTAAGTATTAAATTTAATGTTAGCTTCAATCCAAATTTTATCTGCCAGTCCAGTTTTAGCCTGTTATAGTCAGTTTTACATGGCCAGTAGAACACTTGGTTTTACATGTTTTTCCTACTTGTAGCCTGCACTCTGAATCTTCCCTTAGGAGGTTTCCACAGTAAAATTGATAGTACTGTATTACGGACTTGAAACACTTTGGATTTGGCAGGTAATTGGAGCTAAGATTGCTCACAAAAAAACATGAAAAAAAACAATTTTTGTGGGAAAACAGCATCTGCAAGTTCGATTGTCATATGTCAAAATCATTACATTTTCTTACTTGGGATACATTTGGAAATAAGTTCCTCATAAATCAAACAGATGTTTTTCTGTCCCTTCATTAAGACTAGAGAAAATAGAAATAGAAATTAGATTCTCTGTAATTGACTTAAGGGAATAGAGAAAATTATTTCAATAGGGAAATAATCCTTGGTGGTGGTTCAGTGAATGTAGGTTACTTGCAATCTGACTTTGGGGACTAGGTCAAAAGTTAATTATTGAGAAAATGTCACATTCACATCATATCAGAATGCTAAAGCCTACAATGTCTAGGACTCATTTAGTTGTTATACTTTGAACCTCTGGCAATTGGTATTTTTTTTCTTGATAGAAAATTTGCAGAAATTCATGCTTATAGATTAATCTAAATGTGAAGAAAGGCATCAGAAAGCAAATATAAAAATACACACACATACACAGAGTTATAATTTATTTTATGATCCCTGGAGATTATTTTTTTTAAACTAATATTAATTCAAATTTTGGTTGACTCATTATTTTAAAGTGTATTAGATTTAAATTGAGTGTACAAATCAATGTTGAAAAACACAAGAGTGTCTCTATTTTCAATCCTATACTTTAAAACAAATGCAAAAGGAAAATGGGATGGTGGGGGAAAAATTCCATTCTTATAATTTTTATATGTAGTGATTAACTGTGATGGAAGCTATTCAAATCTTAAAATGGCTAATGGATGGGTAGCCTTTACTCCCTCTGCTTGAAATAAACCACATTCAAACAGTGCAGATTGCTGTGTAAAGTATTCAAGATTCTGGCCATTTAGTTCTATTTTCTGACCTGAGTTTTTTTGTTATTTTATGTTTATGTTTTATGTTATTCTTTCCATATGCCCTCCCACCCCTTTTTGTGCATCTCCGATACACTGTGGCTGCAAAGCTATGACAGTCTTCCTCCCTTCACCCTTGTATTCCAAATTCCAGAGATTCTGAAAAATATAATTACATTCCTAAGGGACAGGAATCAAGATGCTTTACAAGCAGACAATTTTTAAAAATGGCATTCCATCAGTGCCCTGGAGACTGTTTTAGAAAATCCTTCCACAAAAGGGAAACCAAAGAAATTTATAACATGTGCACACACATTTTCAGCACTGGTTATGTACATTTTGCCTTTGTTGAAAGGAAAGGAAATCCAGATAGTTGCCATGATGGGAACTCAGCCAGTTTCAAAAGCACCTTTCCTACTTAAAGCTTCTGGTATTGTGAATGTGAAAAGATATCTTGTCAACTTTTGCAATTTGGTACTTTTTACAATGTTCGTTGAAATCAGTGTCTCTCACACTTCCATTGACTTTAAGATGCATGGACTTCGTTAGGTATAACATTGGTCACCTAACTAGTTTGGGTAAGATAATATATAGATAAGCTATGATTCTTAGTTTAAAGTGTGTGTTACTTTAAATAAGTGTGTGTTACTTTAAATGCAAAGCATGTAATTTTGGGTGTGGTGTGAAACCACCATAAGAGGCAGCAAGACAACCTGATTGCTTGCTGATGAGAAGCTGATGATTCCCTCACGCTTTGCTGGCAATTACTGGAGTTGCAGACGGAAGAGAGGAGTTTCTGAGTTTGTGCATATCTCTCTCTACTGCAAGGAGATAAATTACCGGACTGTTATTTTGTAAGTGTACTGACCATTTTTGACATTGGAATTTGCAACTGGATAATCCCTGGACGGACTGAACTAAGTGTATGATATATGGACTGTTTTTGACTATGCTTAAACTCTTGCTGGAATAAAACTACTTTAATTGGCACTGTATCTGTTTTTACTGAGTGTAAGCTACACAACACTTATCTCACGTATTCTGACTGCCTGCCTGACTGCCCTGCAGATTCTTGCTAGGGTATATCCCTAACAGACTTCAATTCCCAGAATTCCCCCCCTTCCCCCAGCATGAAGTTGCTGAGGGAGAGAAACACTGGCTTAAGCCATGCTGTTTTTGTTGTTGCAGCAGGAGTGGAAGAACAACAACAGGAATTACTTTACAGGGACAACAGTGAAATTGTCATGTATTTCTGTCCTTCCTTTGACAGACAGCTGGTTAGAAAAGGTCTTGCCACTGCTGCTTGCTTTCTCTTTTTTGTTGCCTTGAAATGGAAGGCCCTGAGAAAAATCCTAAACTGAAGTTGGGGGAAGGAAAGAAGCTTAACTATTGCCTCAACTGCAGGAACTGGGAGATGGGTTGAAACTAGAGTTCTCACTGGCTCAGCGTGTTGCAAAAACAAATACTGTGCTAGCTTTGCTGCAGTACCAGATACACACTACAGTCAGGACAGAAGTGTAGCAGCTCAATTTTCCATTAGGGCTGACAGCATGGGGTCACAGCAGTCAAAGATCACCAGGCTTGTGGGGGTGGGGGGGAATTGCTGCTTGGTTATCTGGTGAGCAGTTTCTTGGTTCCTGTGGTTGTCTGGGTTATTAGAATACATTTCTTGAACTTGAGGCTCATCTTTTGAAATGGTACACTCCTCGAAATCATAATACAGGCAGTCCTAGTTTAGCAACTACCTTATTTAGTGACAATTCAGAATTATAACACTAATGAAAAAATAAGTTTACCAATACTCACAATTACAATCTATACAGGTCTGTAAAGCAAAGGAAAACTGAAGTCAAGTTGTAAGCATAACTGCAGTTTCATTTAGAGACCACTTTGCTTAATGACTCAGATATTTGTCCAAATGAAGACTACCTGTAAAAATAACACACTATAGTTCATTGGAGCATTCAGTACAAGATTTCTGTTGACTGGTTTTTTTTTCTCTTCTCAAAAAGATGACTGAGGTTATCTTAAAGTCAAAGACACCTTCTGAGGGAACCTCCAAATGCCTAAAAATGCTAGACTAGATGTGATTTTCACATGATCCAGCCCAAGGAATGAAAAAGGTGCTAATGTGTGTGTGCGTACAAAACCTTTTGAAATATATTTGTCCCCACTTCCATTGGCTCAGCAATTTCTGCAGGGTATCTGCCACACTTAATCTTCAATTATACCATAGTGGCTATCTCGACTTTTTTTTACCACATCCTCAGTACACCCCTGCCCTAGCTTTGTAAGTTCTTGGGGTTCATTAAAAGCAGATTATTGCAACAACTAGCTTTCCATCTTATTGTTTTTCTAGGTTATCACAGCTGGTCTGTCTCCATTCTTATTTGAAATTGCAGTGAATGTACCAACTGCCTGCTGGTATGTACTTTACACAGAAGATTGTGATTATTTCAAATGTCCTTGAATTTCTAAGCCATCTTCCTTAGTTTCTTACGACTTTAATCATTTTTTCCAAACCACAGTGTTAAGCTACAGAGAAAGAACGTTTTATAAAACTAGAGAAAGAAGTATTGAACTGATGCTGTACATTATGACAGGTCCTGCTTTCAAATAAGGTTCATGAAAACTACCAAGAGTACCAGCCATATACCTCCACTGGGTTGCCAAAGGAAATAGGAAGCTGTGCTGTTTAGCAAAGAAAACCCACTGACCTCATATTCCAGAGATGGAGCTACGCCTCCCTAGTCTTCTCTCTTTACTTGTCCTTTTCTCCTGCTGCTGCACCAGCTATCCTGACACTTCAGAGGATAAGAGTCACAATGGGTTTCCAATGAATGGCTGTAGGTTTAAAGTGGTGGTGTTTATCTTCTCTGAAATGATGAACTGATGTATCTGGGTACTTCCGCTTACATGGGAATAATTCCCATTAATTTTAATAAGGCTTTTTAGCCATTGAAACACATAAATTATATCTGGTATGGAAAAAGAGAGCCAGTTTGGTTTAATGGTTAACATACCAGACTAGAAACTTGGAGATCATGAGCATTAGACCTTTAGACACAAAACCAGCTAGGTGACCTTGGACCAGTGACGCTCTCTCAGCCTTAGGAAAGAGGCAACACAAACCACTTCCAAACTCTTGCCAACAAAACTGCAAGCAGTTGCCAGGAGTCAAGACTGAATTGGAGACATCAAAACAAACAAACAAAGATTGAAAAAAGAAAAAAACCTTTCTTGATATAAACCATAACTGTTGAGTAGTTATAACAGCAAAGGCAAGACAAAAGAACTTCCTCACCAACAGAAAATTACTTTTTGGAATACAGTTCTGCACAATGAGGTAACAGGAACTACCTTATACAGGAAATTGGTTAAATCCAGGGAGAAAAAGCTTTGATTAGTCACCATGAATACCCAGTGGAACCCTTTTCCAGAGATAATAAGGGGCAAAATAAATTATTCTGTTAAGACTGGATGGGTTGATGCAGAAGGAATCACTTTATGTTCAGATGCCTCATGTGACGGGTCATTAATTTCTACCTCAGTCAATAGAAGCTGAAAGCTTTCTTTTCCACAATCTTGTTATTAAGAAATATGCCTTGCTGAGCTTTAGTAAGGCTTATTCCCAAGTGGAATACAAGTGGTACAAGATGTTTCTAATGGGCTTTGATCTCACCATTGGCCCTCCCCACCTCCAAGAGTATGTTTTTTCCAAACAGTCACATCTATGGCTTACAATGAATAATGGCTTTAGTATGTTATGGGTGTAAGAATGGTATTGTTTATACAATGCCAATCTTACAAATCATATTTCAGGAACAAAGGCGTCTGTATGATTTTCAAAAGAAATTAAATTAAGAGTCTAAGAGAGTATAATACTTTCAAAATCCAGAAGTTTTGCTAGTTTGCAATATAAAAAGGACTTTCTGCTTATACATTGTACAAAGATTTGTTTTATTGATATAGTGCAAAGGCAGCTTTGGGGTTTTTCTTTTTGTAAACCAAGTCAAGGAACTAAAATATAAGGCTGTAATGTAGAATTGTTGGAAGAGACAGAGCAGAGGCAGCATTTTGCTGATTTTGAGTGGAAGAAATGGCAGAATAGCCTTGAAGCCATCTGTTGCTCTTGCAAAAGATGAATGATGCATGGGCTAACTTTTCTGGAAACAAAAGATGAACCTCTTGAACCTCTGGTATCGTTTGTTCAGTTTATGCTGTTGGACACATTAATACAGGGCAGGAAATACCATATACAGAACCGGAATATGAGAAGTCAGAATTTGAGAAGTATCTTTGTGGCAGGTGTGGTAAGGATCCCTGGATGACAGGCAGTGTTACAGAAACACAATAGGAAATTCGAGTGACCCACCCAAGTTGCTGTGGAGGTTTCCTTCCAAACCCAGTTAGTGAATAACTAATTTATATAAAAGCTCTTTAAAATTAAAATAGAAGTAAAAGATGGCATAGGAGAAGCTTAGATTGGTGAATTATTGTGCTCTACCTGCAGGGCAGCAAAGCTTACTAGTTGATTTTCCTTCCACTCAGCCTACACATATCACAAGGTTATTGTAAACCTAAAGAAAGGATCTGCAACTTTAGTGTTCCTTGGAAGGAAGGGCAGGATAAGATGTCCTTAATTATATCTTATGCATTTGCTAGATTTATGCCCTGCTTTTCACCAGAAGTCCAACATGGCATATGTAGCATTCCTTCCCCTCATATTTCCTCAACCCTGTGAGGTAGAATGGGCTGAGAGAAAATGATTGGTATCCCCATGTGAATGGACTTGAATTCTGATCCTCCTTCAGTACTTTAATCGTTACCCCATACAAATATGAAAAGATAAACTACATATTTATTTCAATTAATCCACACAATTCCATTCTCTTGAGAGCAAATTGCCTCCCCTCAAGAAAATTACTGGTTCTGCAAGCAATACAAGGGAGGGAATTTGTTACTTATTGACAGCACTATGGATAAGAAGTTGGTGTAGTTCACATACAGGGTATGTTGGTTCAAGCCACTGAGAACAATGTTCTTAAACATAGGTCTATCTACATTTAAATTATGAGGATTATACAACTGTGACAGTTTTAAAATAAATGGATGAAAGAGACATTTTGGGTTAAGTATTACAGAATTATAGACGTCTGTACAATTTAGAGTAAATATTAAGCCAGTGAATTGGGGAGCTCTAGTCATCCAGATCTATACCTTCTGGCTTCACTAGCCTGCATAACTGATGCCAAGATTTGCTGAGATTTGTAATTCAACAGCATTTGGAAGGCAAACATTTTCTCGTGCTTGCATCCTTGAAGAGTCTTGACTGTCAACTGCACGCACACCCTGTTATTCTCAGAACATCCCTAGAGAAAAACACTGACTGAACGCTCCCTATACTTTGATCCAAACTAATATTTCAAAATGCCCTGAATTAATCAGTGGCTCTGCCTTCTGGGACTTAACTGGGAAGAAAGGACAGACTAAGAGGAAGTCAGTCTCAGGAGAAGGAACTCTATACCCTTCCCAATTGTTGGTACCTTTCCTAGGACATAACCATTAGGATTGGGGGATGAGTCTTATAGATGGAATATGGGTGGAATATGGGTGAAAAAACTTCAGAATTAACTTTATTGACTTTGGGTTATGCTGTCTTAATTATGTGTTTCTGATGTTTGTGCTAGCAAATATTTGCTAACAAAGTTTCTGCTATCTTTTCTTAACAGTCTTTTGCTGGCTGGATTTGCTGAAATCTTGCTTCTCTACATTGAAAGGACTGGCACATGAACACTGGCAAGTGAGGAAGATGATTCTTCAATGGGGCTGCTCAATTTTTGTTTAAGAATTAGTGATTAATGAAGACATGTAAGCAAACAGCAAGTTACAAGTGCAATCCCATGATGGCTTTCTCAAAAAATAAGTCCTATTCACGATAAAACCAAGAATCAACTACAGGATAGAGTAAGATTAATTCTACCTGTTTCTGTTTTTAAGCCATACCTTCTATTAATAGTAATGCATAAAAATGGGATTTGATTCTTTTTTATTATATTATGCTAAAATGAAGGTTTATCATTAAACTGGGACTTCTCTGGTACTATCCAAACATTTCCTACCTTTTTTCTCACAGCAATCTTCTAATTGTAGCACTCTGTTCAGATTATGATTGCTTATTTTATCACAGAATAGAATAGATGACCTAATACCCTCTCATGAAGCCCGGCATTAGAGTTATTCTGATCTTGAATGTTTTGCAGATAAACAGTACTTGTGTTCCTCATCAGCCTGGAGTACACATTACCTACTGTAGGCAACATACTATATTTCCTGCTTCCTTATCCTCTTCCTGACACCACATGGTCAGAAGCAATAGTGTGTGTGTGTGGGAGGGGGAATGGATCCATTGGCATCAGTACCATACTTTCCTGTGGGAGAGGGGCAGTGATACAGATACAATGACTCTCTCATATGATCTGACCCTCACATGCAATAGTGCTAAACTTTTGTTTTACTGAACAGGTGTAGAATGCAGCCAATACACTGTGTGTTTTTATGCATGACAACTTTTAAGATGTGGAGATTTCAACTCCCAGAATTCCCCAGCCAGCATGCCTTTACAAACTTGCTGTGAGGGAAACATTGGATGCAAGAAAAATCCAACCAGATTATAAATGACCACTCATAAATAAGTAATCATCAACCACTCTGATAAGATAAGCACACTTGAAGACTTATCCCTCTTTGTCCGACCACACAACACTAGTTGTGTCAACTCAGGTACACAAAATCATTTGTGCTTATTTCCCTACAACACCTTCTATCATTGATTCACATACACTAATCCAGTTAAACTGTTAATGAGTTACATTGGTTGGGTTCAGACAATACTCCAAGTTACATTATGCTTTTGTATGTTATATATGAACACAGCCATCTGTCTCCAGTTTGTCTCGGCCTGGGTAAAATATAAGCATGTTAGCCAAATTAATTTTTGTTCCCATGGATACAGGGTTGTAAGTACATTGTGGGTTGGCATTTTTCAGCCTCTTTGCAAAAGCAAATAAATTTCCAATATACCTTGAAAAGAAATAACTCATTGGAAGGTCTTCTCCAGCACGAGTCCTTTGTACTCTTTGGCATGGTAGAGATAAAAAATCATTGTGAATATTCAAATGTTGATTCTAATAGAATTGAATGGTAAGCAAGAAGGATATGATTCAATCTCCACTAAAGTGAGAATATCACATTCAGTTCTTTCTCTATAAAACGAAACCACCTGAGAATCAAAAATATAAAAACCCACCCATCCCAGAATCTTGTGTGCCAAGGACTCTGTAGAAAGTAAAAGTAAAAATTAGGAATATAATCACCACATCTGAAACACTAGTTTCATTGAATGAAAAATAAAGTGAATCTTATATTTTAAGCATTAGTCTGTTTTTTCAGTCAAATGTTTAATTATTATTATCTAAACATTTATACATAAGGGTTGTAACACTTACTTGTATTTTGTAATTAGTTATTACTCTGCATACTTACAAGGAAATATAGTGATACTGCAGTTTTGAAATTCGGTCTGCAGTGTTGCTTCATTTGAATGAAATCCATAGGAAATAGTTGAATCTTATTCCTAAATATTTTTGCTTAGCAAAAATGCTGGTCATCTGGGTAAGGATCTTCTTAAGGGGCATTTAGATACACAGTCTTCAACTTGCAACAGTTCATTTAGTGACAATTTAGTTACAACAGCACTGAAAAAAGTGACTTATGACCATTTTTCAACTTACGACTTTATACCATCTTCAGGTGTTTGGCAACTGACTCCCAGTGTCATTGACCTGAAGTCATGTGATCACCTTTTGCAATCTTCTTGTTGGATCCGGGATCGGGTCACAAAAGAGGCGAGACGCAAG